TTACTCGGGGTTCCTGTGGAACCGCCGAGTTTAGGTTTCGGCCTTCTTTGTCGCATTTAGTACACAAATTAGAATGCACTGGGTACGAATCACGTGACATTCACAACTTCCATGTGCTATCTTATGGTGTCGTCGAGGTGTCGTCTTTATACGAGATGGAAGACATGAATTCAACTTCAAACATGCTTCAAGATCTCGTTATTCAAGATTTGTTTATTATAATTATCGACATGTACGTTGTAGTCGTAGTCGAGAGCCCAGTAGGATACCAAAACGATTTCTAAGACGCTTACATAACAAAAGTAGAAAGCTAAGATGGGTTGTTTATCATCGAATCTGTCAAAAGAGGTTTATCTTAATTTTGTCTTACATGTAAAATGACATAATAAGATTGTTGTTATTGTCTTGATATTTGTTCATGTTCTTTTAATAATACGAAGTTGGTGTAGACACAGTTATTTTTTTAATTTCTCTAAATGACTTTTAAGTTATTAAAATTGTGATATTTATATTACTGCATATCATGAATTGTCTATCAAACTAGCTACCCATCTTATCAAAAGCGAATTATATAGTAAATATATGGCAAACACGCAAGTGTAAACGAGCCTTACCAAATTCACTACTATTTTATCAACAAGAAYCCCGAGTTTACGCAGTTATGCGTCTAGTATTTAATATAGACCTCGAAGCCAGTGGGGGGAATTCGACCCTGAAATTAGAGACCTTATAGATATATGGCGTAATCGAAATCCGGATACAAAAATGTATACCTGGAGAGGAAAAGGGCAGGGGAAAAAAAGTAAAAAAGATAAGTTAATACAACGTCGTTTAGATTTCTTTTTCGTTTCCGATGATCTACAAGCGTYCGTGAAAAAATGTGATGTGATCCCACTCCTTCTACAGACCACTCCACCATAACGTTAAATATACAATTTTTTCAAGCTGAGACAAAAGGACCATCTTACTGGAAATTCAATAATTCATTGGTTAATAATGAAAAGTACTGTAGAAAAATACAGCAGCATATAAGAGAAGTTAAAAGATTKTTAGATGAAGAAGATATTTCCAACCCACAATTACGCTGGGAATACATGAAATACGAAATTCGGAAATTTTCAATTACGTTTTCAAAAGAACTGGCAAGAAATCGCAGGAAAGCTTATGAACAATATGAAACAGAAATTAAGACCATAGAAAACACAGTAAATTGGGAACGAAAYGATGTTTTACTTAYGGAGCATGATAGATTAACAAAATTACTCGAGGAAGAAAGTAATTATATTACCGAAGGTATAATTATGAGATCTAARGCAAAATGGYACGAAGAGGGAGAGAAGAATACCAAGTATTTTTTAAATCTTGAAAAGAAACGTAAAGTTAAAACACATATTAGGAAATTAATCGACGAAAATGATTGTGAAATTACATCATCTAAAATTACAGTCAAAAAATATTTTGAATCATTATATCAATCAAAATCGTCAAAAACAGAAGACGATTGTAGTGCTTTTCTTTCTGAGTTCGAAGTACCGTTACTACAATTAGAGGATAAACAGAGATGTGGGAAATACATGAGCGAAAGCGAATGTTTAGAAGCACATGGGTGTGTCAAAAACTCCTGGAAATGACGGGTTAACTAAAGAGTTTTATATATGTATGTGGGAAGAATTGAAAGAAGATTTAGTTAATTCCTTAAATTTTAGTTTTGATATGGGCTCTCTTTCCACTRCACAAAGACAAATAATAATAACTCTACTCGAAAAACCTGGCAAAGATAACAGATTTTTGGACGCTTGGCGTCCCATTAGCCTGATTAATGTAGACGTAAAAGTATGCAGTAAAGTATTAAGSAATAGATTAGCGAAATCACTTCCGGTATTAATTCACCCTGATCAATCTTGCTTTATCAAAGGAAGAACAATAGATGATCCAATAAGTCAAATCCGAGACATAATGGACTTTTCAAAAGACTCAGTACCTTTAAGGCATGGCTTTTGCTTTCGATTTTGCCCCCAGCAGTGTTATTTTTGCGCGGAAGCCTGGTGTCGAGTTATTATGAAATTACCTTGACGACGAGATATTCAATATGGCGTCTATCTGTATGAGTTATGCATTTAGTTCGAATGTTGTCAAGTTTGAAATGTTTTTCTCGTTAATTTCCGATTTTTATGTGAATCTATCTTTGGGACTTTATTTCTATTGATGTTGGAGGACATTTTTCGGCGGAAACGGATTGCTTCAATATGGTTAAGAGRCAAAATTGAACTGATGCAGGTAAGCGTTTTAAGTTTATCATGCTAACTTAATTGTCTCATATCAAAGCTCGAGTCCAACTTGAAACTTTGGCTTTGCTTTATGAAATGTATTATTATTTGTTGTATCTTTTTGGGGTAAAAGAGTCAATATTATGGCATCGTTGTTTGCACACTTTTTAAAAAGTTAAGATTCGATTTTTTTCTATAAGCTTACTTAAAAACATGCAACTGATTATTTACAATAACTAAATTTAAATAAGCTTATATTACTTAATGGATTGGTATTTAAATATCTACATAAATARTTACAGGCAATAAGTTTATATATACACAAAAAGATTCAAAAATATATATACAGCAGTATTTGCAAACAACAATATACACAAATTTATACAGCTTTTTAAAGGTTTTCTAAAAAAAGGTCAACTACTTGATGAATTTGATTATAGTATAATTACAAAGTATTGCATTCTATTTTTTTTTTAGACTCTTTTCACTTGAATGGAAAACCGACTACTAGTGTATCCACTTTATAGTCTGTGGTAAGTGTTTATGAAGGATTTTGGAATGTATTTTAATAGACCCTATAGGGTATATGCAGTCATGATCATAATACATTGATATGAAAACCTACACGAAAATAGATAAATATTGAATAAGTATATAAATAAGTAAATAATTCAGTAAATAAATAATTAAATAATTAACACTTGAAATTAATTTTCCATTGCTTTAACAATGCTTTGCAGTATTTGATCTTCTCCAATAAAGATGAGGCTAAGTCATCATGCTTCATTTCCTCTAATGATGGTGCTGTGAGATTGTGTGATAATACATAGTTTTTTTCCCATTCTTTGAGATTTTTTTCCAGCATTTTATCTTGTGCTATGACTTTTGTCTGTAAATTAGCTAGCTCTTCTTCATAAATGTCTCTATAATACTTTATGTCTGTCGACTTCTTTGGTGGGCTCTTTCAAGTGTGTGTATCTTTTAT